AATTTGACATCATTTTCGAACAGTTTTGTCGCTATAACTTGGCCAAAAAACGAGATATCTATCTGAAATTTGGTATGTTTATAGAAGAGCGCAGGGACTATCTCAAATATTTCGTTTTTTTCGAAATTCGGAAAGTTTTTGTATTTTTGATTTTTTTTTTCTAAAAAAAACAATTTTTTTATTTTTTTTTTGGGGTCAAAAACCCAAAATATTGAAAATCCGAGATCGTAGTTTTGTAGCACCGCTTTTTGTCTACTAGAAAATATAAAGAACTTTGAAATTACTTGGTAACGTAGCTTTGGTGAGCGTTTCAAGATTGCATGTTTTTTGCTCATTTTTGCTCGAACATGACCTCAGTTTGACCTCAATAACTCCTGACCTAAGGTGACCTTAAACTTGGACTTTGGTGTGAAGGTGTCAAATTGATGCCCGGGAAGGTAATGAAAAGTGGCGGTGTTGCGCGCCGCCGTTTTCTTGCTATTCAGGAAAAACCACAGGGGTGGGCCAAATTGCCCCCCCCCCCCAACGGGGCGAGGGTTAATTATGAATACTCGGCAGGACTACCGGTTGGCCTGGCCTGACCTGACCCGACCTACATTTGCGGCTAGCAAAACACCAATACGGACGAGGGTTAACCTTCCAGGCGGGGGGGGGGGCATTTTTTGCCCCCCTTTAGTTTTTTCAATATATCTCGAGAAACGCTGCGCCGATCGTCACCAAACTTTCAGTACCCTCCCGGGAGCAGCTAGCGCACATGGTAACCAATTTTTTTCCAAAGGCTATGATAGGTTGGCCGCTAATGACGTCAGAGTGACGTCATTTTTGCCATTTTCGACCCAAAAAAAGGTTTCGCGGGAAGAGCTATCAGGCCTACAGCTTTAGAGATAGAGCAAAATGTTATCGACATAAAAGGTGTAGAATCAAAAGGGCTACAAAACTGCTATTTCGGTTATTCGATTTTTTTTTGGATTTTGACCCCTAAAAATCAATAAATAGCTTTTTTGAATATAATAGCCAAAAAATCCAATTTTCTTTAATGTCGAAAAAACAGGAATATATGTGATAGTCCCTACCGCCTTCTATCTACATACCAAATTTGAGATCGATACCTCTTTTTTTGGCCAAGTTATAGCGAAAAAACTGTTCAAAATTGATGACGTCAAATTTTTAAACTCAATTTTTAGCAATTCCAGACCAGAGGCAATTTTTTTGCGCAACACAAAAAAAGACCACCATTAGACTCCCGTGACGAGCTGCATCGAATCAACACCCATATAATGCAAAAATATCAACTTTGAAATTTGACCTTTTTTTTACCTGACCTTGACCTGACCTCCACCAGAAAGTGACCTAAACCGTACCTGATGGTCTTATAACCAACACCATTGAGTTGGAAATGAAAAACTGGCCATAAAACATGCATCGCATAACCTTAGTAAAGTTAGGCTCATGTGGTGACCCTTGGTGACCTTTGGTGACCTGACCTGTGACCTGACCTGGTATGACCAGTGACCTCTAATAGCAACATATGCACTAGACAACTGACGCCCTACCGCTGATTTTCGACAAAATGCGTTTTACTCGGTGTTATAGCGCTTTCCCTAGAACGGTGAAGTGAACGGTGAAACATTTTATCTTTGACCTGACCTCTGACGTCATCGGTGACCCCGAGGTCAATGAAATTTGGTTTCCCTCGACAAATTTGACAGGGCTATCGAACGCCGTTTGAATTTTCCGGATCCGTCCAGTAGTTTCGGAGATAGGGGGGGGGCAAAAAATGCCCCCCCCCCACCGCGCGGAAGGTGGCTGGGAGGCCCGCCGCCTGCCGGGTTAACCCTCGCCGGCCGAGGGGGGGGGGGGGGCGGCCCCCCATAGGGGTTTTTCGCGATAGCTCCGAACACGCTGGCGATGGAGAGCAGAAACTTGGCATACCTGACCTTTGATTCAAGCCGGATATTTTCTCAACAACCGCATTTTTGGGTCACGTCAGGTCACTGACCTATAACGTCATAAGTGAACCTTTGCACGGTCTTCAGATGTCGCAACTTCGCAACGCCCTCACTGCTAGAAATGTCACAGGGAAATGAAACTTGCAGGATCTATTATCCATTATGAGTCTCACAACTTGTATATCTCGGACTTTTCCTAAAGGTCGTATGAGGTCAGGTCATTTTCGTCACCTCACCATTATAAGTCAATGGGGAAAAATGAAAACTGCTATTCTGGCGCCGGGAACGATCTCCAACTAACTCAAGCACACAAAATCGTGATTTGATGCACTCCTTGCAAGGTTAGATGCCTCACTTTTGCAATGTTGACCTTGCGTGACGTCATTTATGACGTCATCAAGTTCATATTAGTTTTTCGTCAATAACTCTTGATCAAATTGAGCTAGCGAGTCTAGGAAGCCACCGATAGACTCAGGAGGACATGCCGAATCGAATGATATGAGACATGACCTCTTACGACCAACTTCGTGACCTGGGGGTGCTGACCTGACCTTGACCTGAGGTCAACACCAAAGGTTGACCTGACCCGAACAAAATGTATATCATTCGACGCGCCTGAGCGAGGCGAACACGATGCTGCCAAAATCGCGTCTCTGCGGCCGTTTTTCCGAAGTTATTTACCAAAAACTGAACCGTACCTCCTTGGGGCACTTGACCTGACCTCAGAGGTCACCGGTTGACCTAGGACCTTAAAATCGGGTACCAATCTCTGCGTTTCGTAACGGCGCACACGCTTGTTCTTTACTGCGACGCGCTAGCTCCACCAGGGCGAGGGGGGGGGGTGGGGGTCGGACGCGACACTGTGTCAGTGCGAGACACGAGAGCGACCGATGCCGGTCAGCTGCAGTTTTTCAACTCCCGAGCCGCGGCACAGTGGAACAGCGCGCCCGCAGAAATAAGGGAAGCTAGCACCGCCGCAAAGTGTCGCAGAATGGCAAGAGATCATTTTACTAGAACCGATTAGATGGTGAGCATGATATGTGATAGCGCTCTTTTAAGGTGTATAATTTTTTTTAGAGTTTTTAATGTCGCTTTGTTTAACTTGACCACGTTTTAACTACACATAGTTCAATCGCCTGTATTACCTGTGTACTGACGCAAAGACGTAAGAGCCACGGCGAGTGGAAGTCTTTAAGAAATAAATGATGATGATGATGATGTGCCTACCCGGTTGACCTGACCTTGATCCTGACCTATGCTTGACTGACCCCTACATAGAGCTGACACTCTTGTAGGCCTTATGTGAAGGATTGTGCACCGTTTTGACAGAGTTTATGACGAGAGGCGCCCATTGCGAAGTCCTGAAGTTCATGCTACCGAGAGCCCGATTTCAGGTGTTTAACCTGACCTTGACCCGACCTGTGACCTCAAAATTATTTTTAAAGTACTCATCTGAAGCGTCTCGTCGCGTTCTTTCGTTTGCCGCCTCGTGTGTTTCGCTGCGCCTATTGGTTATCGAGCTATCGGCTGGGGGCGTTTAACCCGCGACCCACTGGGGGGGGGGGGCTATTCATAGCCCCCCTCACGTTTTTCTGCAATTTCTTCCAAACCGCTTGACGTATCGACGCCAAAATTTCAGTACCTTCACCTGCATCAATTTGACACCTAGTAAAAACATGAACTTCGTAGCTATCATAGGTCGGCTGGATATGACGTCAGCTTCACGTCATGTTCGGCCGATTTCGACGCAAAACATTGAACCACGGCAATCGCTCCCAAGAGCTCAGTTTTTAACACGCGCACCGACGGGGGGGGGGGGGGGCGGATATTCGCCCCCCTTAGGTTTTTCGCGAATAGCGGGAAAACCGCGGCGCTAGCGGCGCAAAATTTGGTACGACTATTCTCTCATCAATTTTACACATGGTGTGCAAGTTTAAACCTCCTAACGTTAAAGGTCAGCTCACCAGGTCACATTGAATGACCCAACCTCAAGTCACTTTTTTGCAACTTTGTCACCGTGCCAGAGCTACAGTAGATGTCGGAGGCCTTTGAAAGTCGCAGGATGTTATAAGGTCATTAGTGACTACAATTTGTTAATCTCGGAATTTCGATATCGGTGGCCTAAGGTCAGGTCAATTTCTCGACCTCCCCATTATAAGTCAATGGGGGAAAAATCAGCTCCCTGTTTTTACCACTAAAACGGGTCGGAATGGCCCCATATACCATACATGACTTCATATACGATCAACCTTCACTACCTTGAGGTCTGTTTTGCTGTTGGGCAGCTGTAAAGTCATGTGACGTCATCAAAGGTCACCAAAGGTTCGTTGCCAATAACTCCGTACAGGAACAACATACAGCCGCGCGGATGGTCTCATTGTGTTCAGCTCGTCAAGACGCATCGAATGATATACATGATGACCTCGAGGTCACGTGACCTGAGGTCAACCTTTGACCTTGACCTTTTGAGGTCAACATAGATATCATTCGATGCGGATTGACGAGAGGATCACGATGATGCCCTTAGATTGTTCCTATCTGGACTATTTCGCAAGTTATTCGAGAAAAACTCTCCATATCTAGCGCCGCCATTTTCGACTTTTTTACCCTGTGACGTCATCTTTGACCTGACCTGAAAATGACTTTTATAAAAATTGTAGACCTTGTCAATGTGTATCCCATGCCGTTTACCGCTTGTCGCTATCTTGCTTCGTTCTCAAGATCTTAGGGGGGGGGGCGGTCATCCGCCCCCCGTTCGGTACGTAGTTGGCGCAGACCCCCGTCGGTGCGCGTGGCTAGATCCGATTTCCTTGCATCACAGGACTCAGAATAGACTGCGCTATCAGACTGCTATCTCGGATTTTCAAAAATTTGAAAATTATGAGAATTATAAAAAAACAAAAATTTATATTTTTATATTTTTTTCAAAAACTTTTTGACTTTTCGAAAAAATTGAATATTTGTGATAGAACACATGCTTATATAGGCGGTGTGCCGCGCAGCGATCCGGCGGCTCTACGCCGGTTGCGGGAAAATCAGGTCATGTGACTCAGGTCATGTGACTCCCGCGGGTCGAGAGCCGCCAATCGCTGCGCGCCACGATTGGCCGGCGGGTCGGCCGTCCGGGCCGCGCGGCGGTGACCCCGCCATTCGTGCACTGGTTCTGTGTGGTTCGTGACGTGTGCGTCTGCGTGAACGGTAAGATTTGCTTTTTTGTTACTACGAATTGTTGGAAACCCTTATTTGTTGTTAACTTTACTTTGCTTAGTGGTTATTTTCATCGTTGTCTGCATTTGTGCGTTGTTAAGTTAATTTTAATCTGTTGCAGGACGCGAGCTAATGGCGAGCTAATGGCGAGCTAGTTTGTGGAGCTAATTATGGAGCTAGTCTGTGGAGCTCATAGCGAGTTGATAGCGGAGCTCAAGCTGATGCCTCTGATATTTGGGATTTGATATTTGAACTCCGCATCACAATATAACTTACGAAAGCATAAGCACCGTGTTGTCGATGGGAGGCAGCAGTCGTGACGCAGAGCTCGGCACCCCGGCCCTACATCTGGTGGCAGCGGTGTGCGTTCTTCGCACCCACGTGGCCGAGTCTGAGCTGCGTCTTGCTGCCCTCCACTCGGGTGCTCGCTTGTTGGCACGTGGTACGTGGATCATGGAGCATCGCTTCCTGTTCGGCTGCCTGCATCCGGCTGTGGCGTGCACGGGCGCTGCTTGCGGGCCCCGCTGAGCGGCTCGCTATTCGGGCCTGTGTCGAGGCTCCGGTGCGGCACAGCTGACTGCGCCTGGCGCGCGGGCGGCCTCCCCGCTGGGACCCGCGGCGAGGCTCCGGACTGGACCCAGCTGCCTCGGCCGGGCGGGCGACCGGGCGTCTGGGCCCCGAGGGCCGGTCGGTGACTCGGTGCTGTGATTGGCGGACGGTCGGACGGGCGGACGGCCGGCCGTGCGGACGGTTGGTGGGCGCGGCGAGCGCCTGGCGGTACCGCGTGGGGAGTGGCTCTGCGCGGCGGACCAGCTGACCAGCTGACGCGGCTGGCGGGCTGCCAACTGTCTCCGTGACCTGACGCGTGCGTACGTGGCGCACGGGTGGAGCGAGAGTTATGGACTTCATGGGGTGAGTGTTGAACTGTGTTACCTTGTATTATTGTTACTGTATATTGTACTTTACTTTGTGCGTTCGTTACTTAATTCGTTGTGGGGTCCTCATACATTTGTGACTTTAACTGACTTCTGTGCAACGTTCGTTGTTTAGTTAGATGATTGTGAAAAATTCGGGTTATTTTTTTCTATCGATTTTCGAGATTAGGCGCCTGGAGCTAGGATTTCACTGTGCCTCTGGGACAGAAATTACCTGCCTGAGTATTTGGTCTCTGATCTCTCGAATCCCTTGCTAATTTACCTGCAATCGTTCCGTTCACGTTATTACCATTTAACATGGCTCATCAGACTTTGGTTACACTGGGATTACCGTCATTTGGGGGTAACACTGGTTCAGTTTCTAGGTTTATTTCTGACTTTACGACGTACGCGGCTTTTCAAAACTGGGATAACGCTAAGCAGGCTAGCCTACTCCCTTTGTGCCTTACCGGTATCGCTTGTGATGCGTATGACTGTCTCCCGGAGGCATCCAAAAAGTCGATTACTTTGGCTTTTGGTGGTCTCCGCCAGGCCTTCCCTTCCCATGGCGTGATCGAGGCTCAGGTGCAGCTGAGGGGCTTGAGGTTTGACCCAAGGTCTGACCTGGACTCATTTGTCATCCGACTGAGGGGACTTGTTTGCGCTGCGTTCCCAGACAGTGAGGCTGATTGTCTGCTGTTCAACTACTTTATGCAGGCGCTACCCATGCAGTATCAGTCCCGTTTGATTTCTGACGGCATTGCGTCGTTTGACGCCGCACTGGTCGCAGTCCGCAACATGTGTTGCGCGACACGGCTGAACGTGAGTCAGCCTGCGCCGGTCCGGCAGGTCCAGTCTGAGAGCGACGTGCTCCGTCAGAGGGTCGAGGAGTTGGAGAAGGAGTTAGCTCGTCTGAAGGGAACCGGAGGTTCCAAGGCTACCGGCTGTTTGTTTTTGTTGTGGTGGTGAGGGCCATGTCCGTAGAAACTGTCGTAACAGGAACTCTGTCTGCTATCTCTGCGGCATCAAGGGTCACTTGGCTCGAGTCTGTGGACTTAGGGCTCCGGAAAACACGAGTGGGGCCGCCGGTTCCGCCCCACCGGGTCGGGCTCCGTACCCGCAGAGGGGGACCAGGGGTGCTCCGGCACCAGGCAGCGCTCAGTGGCTGCCGCCGGTACCGCTGCAGGCGGACGCAGCTCTGCATCCACCGGGGATGGGTCCCTCGATGCATCAGCGGTTCGTACGGCTGAATCCGGCTCCGGACTCAGCGGGTCAACCGAGGACGTCGACCGCGTCGTCCTGCTGAGGCGTGATATGACTTTCGATGGCGTGGTGGGCGGTGTTCGGTGCTCCCTGCTACTTGACACCGGTAGCAGTATTAACTTGCTCAGTAAGTCTGTCTTTGATGTTTTGCCGAATCGTCCTCCACTGATGAAGACGTCTGCTGTGGCGAGCACAGCCACACAGGATCCTCTGCCGCTGCTGGGGAGGGTAAAGGTGTCTCTGAAGTTGGGAGGTCAGACCACAGTTGTGCCTTTCTTTGTTTCAGAGTGTATTGATGTGCCTGTCATGTTAGGTTTAGAGTTTTTGGCTGCGTGCCCATGCGTAATTGACATGTCTGCTGGCCAACTGGTTCTGACGCCATCGCGAGCGGTTCGTTCAGTTTCAGCTTCCGTCATTTCTGTGGGACGGGTGATTCTCCAGAATGACCTGTCTGTTCCTCCGGGACATGAGTTAGTTTTCTCTGGTTTTGTCCCGAATTCAGACTACCGTGGCCCGGCTATGATGGAGCCGTGCGCTGATATTGAGGGCCTTGAGTTTGTCCCCTCAATTGTCTGTATCTGGTCAGTCGGTTCCGTGTGTGGTTAGAAATGTGACAACCCAGCCGGTGACGATTCCAAAGCGTTCAGAGGTCGGCCGGCTGGAGGTCGGTATCGCAGAGTGTCCGCTGTCGGGCGATCAGACCGCTGAGCGGGATTGGCGTGATCGGCTCGACCTGTCCAGTAGTGACCTTTCCGACCAACAGCGTACCGCGCTCACTTCTCTGCTCGCTCGGTACGAGGATATGCTTGATGGTCGCCTTGGATTCACGTCTCTCGTCCAGCATCACATAGACACAGGAGACGCCCCTCCTGTCAGGTGTGCTGCTCGTCGGGTTCCCCCTTTCCTCCAGGAGAAGGTAAAGGCTGAGCTCGATCGTATGGTTGAGGCTGGTATTCTCGAGGAGAACTTTGGGAGTAGTTGGGGTTCTCCAATCTGTGTCGTTACCAAGAAGGACGGCAGTGTTCGGATCTGCGCTGACCTGCGCAAGGTCAATGCAGTGACCCGGATTCCTGCATATGGCATTCCTCGAATCGATACCATTCTTGACTCTCTTGCGGGTCATTCCATGTTTTGTGTACTCGATCTTAAGCAGTGCTATTACCAGATCGGAGTAGCGCCTGAGGACTGCGACAAGACTACCATAGTCACTCCATTTGGTTCATATAAGCACAGGCGGCTTCCACTATAATTCCATTCCACTATAATTCCACTATAAATTAATGGCGCCCCAATGACATGCGCTCGACTTCTGGATTTAGTGCTCCGTGATGTGCCTCCAGATACTGCTGTAGCATACTTTGATGATATTTTGATAGGTGGAAAAGATTTTGATGATGTCATGAGCAAACTCGAGTTGGTTTTACAGAGGCTACGTGCCGCAGGCTTGACAATCAATCTGAGCAAATGCTCCCTGTTCCAAAGGTCTGTGAAATTCCTTGGGCACGTCATTTCTGCCGACGGTGTCGCAGTCGACCCTGAGAAGGTCGAAAAAGTCCGCAACTGGCCAGTTCCTCGAACCGCCAAGCAACTCGCTTCATTTCTTGGCATGGCCAGCTTTATGCGTAAACATGTCAGAGACTTTGCTAGCATTGCAGCCCCATTGCAGCGCCTGCTGCACAAGGACGTTCGTTTCGCGTGGACAGACGAAGCTCAGAACTCGTTCGATAGGCTACGCACAGCCCTGTGCGAGGCTCCGGTTCTCACCGTGCCGGATTTCAGTCCCAATGCTGGTGTGTTCATCCTGGAGACTGACGCGTCACAGGAGTCAGCGGGTGCTGTCCTGAAGCAGCGGGTCGGCGATGATGAGAAAGTCATTGCGTATGGCAGTCACAAGTTTTCAAAGGCGCAATCCAATTACAGCGTGACTAAACGTGAGTTACTTGCAGTGGTTTTATTTGTTGATAAATTCTCTCCGTATTTGCTTGGTCGGCAGTTTTTAATCCGGACTGATCATGCCAGCCTGCGATGGTTGCTAAATTTCAAAAATCCATCTGGTATATTGGCCCGGTGGTATGAGATTCTTCGCCAATTTCAGTTCGTCATCGAGCACCGTCCAGGGTCAGAGCACGTCGTGCCTGACGCTCTCAGCCGCAGACCTCCAGATGTGGACGACAAGGCCTGTCAGACTGAAGGTCTTTCTGCTCCCGTGTTTCGTGTCAATGCTTCTGACTGGTCAGTAAGCTACATTCGCGCTGAACAGGACCAGGATCCAGACTTGTCTGAGATCAGCAGACACCTGTCTGCAGGTCGCAAACCGAAGAAGAAGGAATTGTCTGCGGCAGCAGGTCGGTTTCTGTCGCAGTGGCACCGACTACGACTTGTGAATGGGGTACTTTTTCGTCTGTATCGAAGGAGACCGTTTGACTCTGATCAGCTCCAGATTGTGTTGCCCAGGGCTCTCATTTCCAGTGCCCTGGCGTCACTGCACGCTGGGCCTTCCGGTGGCCACTTCGCAGCTGACAAGCTGTTCGAACAGGCCAGACTCCGGTTCTGGTGGCCACAGATGTTCACCGAGATAGAGTCCTTTTGTAAAAAATGTCCCCAGTGTGGTTCACGCAACGCCCCAATTCCGGCTCCGAGGGCTTCGCTCATAGGCGCGGGAGCCGGGGGGGCAGTGGGGGCAGCTTGCCCCCCCCAACTCTGGGGCCGTGGGGGCGGTGCCCCCACAGCTTTGAGACGGAATATCACACTTTTTTTGCAAATGTTTTCTTTTTTTGTTGAAAAAGCCGAGGGGTGAAAAATAAGTGGCCTAAAACCGGTGAGAAAACTAGATTTGGGGGTACCCTAGGTTGATCTCTATTATGGTGTGCCCCCCCAGTCGGAAAGTAGTTCCCGCGCCCCTGGCTTCGCTTGGTGAGCTCTCAGCAACAGAACCACTCGAGGTAGTGGGTCTGGACATTCTGTCATCATTGCCAGAGACTCCAAGTGGTCACAAGAATCTTCTCGTTGTAGTAGATCACTTTTCACGCTGGGTAGAAGCGTATCCGTTGAAGAGTCAAGAAGCAACTGAAGTTGCTACAGTGTTCGTTCGCGAGTTTGTTTCCCGATTCGGCTGTCCGCGCCGGATTCATTCAGACCGCGGTGCTAACTTCACGGGTGAAGTCTTGAAAAAGACTTGCGAGCTTCTGGGTATCGCTCAATCCAAGACTACCGCGTTCCATCCCATGTCCAATTCTATCGTAGAACGCACCAACCGAACTCTGATTAACATGTTTGCAAAATTCCTTGAACAGCATGAGCACGCTGAGTGGGATAGTAATCTCCCGTTACTTTTGCTTGGGTTGCGAGCTCAAGTGCATCGATCTTTAGGTGTGTCACCCTATTGTGTCATGTTTGGAAGAGAGCCCCGGCTACCGATTCAGCTGGAGCTCGACACCCCTCTGAAGGGCCGAACCCGACCCATCACGGAATATCTTGATGAACTGCGATCAAATTTGCAGGCACTTCATCGTCTCGCATTTGACAATGCAAGGCTCAGTCATCGACGGAACAAGGCGGTTTATGATCGGAAGATAAATGACTTTAAGTTTGCCCCAGGTGACCGTGTTTATTTGCACAAGGGAGTGGTCCCAAAGGGATCATATTATAAGTTCCTCCGACCGTGGAAGCCCGCGGTTGTTATCCCGGCAGTTGCTGGGGTATTTCGCCACCCACCGTTTGCTGGGGGGGGGGGGGGCGTTAAACGCCCCCAGCCGATAACTCGAGAACCAATAGGCGCAGCGAAACGCACGAGGCGGCAAACGAAAGAGCGCGACGAGACGCTTCAGATGAGTAAATTTAAAGTTGAATTTTGAGGTCACAGGTCGGGTCAAGGTCAGGTCAAACACCTGAAATCGGGCTTTCAGTAGCATGGACTTCAGGACTTCGCAATGGGCGCCTCTCGCCATAAACTCTGTCAAAACGGTGCACAATCCATCTTATAAGGCCTACAAGAGTGTCAGCCCCATATAGGGGTCAGTCAAGCATAGGTCAGGGTCAAGGTCAGGTCAACCGGGTAGGCACATATCCCCGAAAATCAAAACTGATATTCGCAGCCTGTGACACATGTTTTATAGGTAATTTGGGGCGTAGAACACGATGGTGACATTCATTTTATCATATGTGTACGTGTTTGGCTCAAAAAGTTCAATTTAAGAAATTCATGTATCATGGT